TCGCGTTTCCCCCGCCGGCCTCGCTTTTCTTTTTTGTCTGCCTCCACGCATCACAGGGTTCCTCTTGCCTGTGCTTCAGCCTGCACTGGAGGCAGTGGGTTAAACTGGTCCATTCAGAGCAACCAGCATGGCTGAGCATCCAGCTCGCGGCACTGCTCAATCCCTCCCTCCCGCCGTTGCTGTCAAGGGCAGGACTCCTGCTCAGCAGTGCGCTGGGTTTGCTGTTCCTGGGTGCGCAATTAAAAAATTAGCCTAACGAGGCCGCAGGTTTCAAGTCTGCAGGCTGAGCTGCTCTCTTTCAGGAGCTCTTTTTGTTGCTTTGCCTCCCTGTGGCCAGACCGGAGGCAGAAAACCTCGCTGAGACCCTAAACCACAGGGTTTGTCGCTTGTGGAGAAGCCGCAGCCCCTCCTGCGTTCGATTCTCCCGAAGGAAATGTCCTGACAAACGTCCCCGGGGTTTTCCCTGCCTGCTGCGGGCAGGCAGCACGTGGGGGTGCCGAGGTGGGGCGTGCGCTGAGCAGAGCGTGACGGGACAGTCCCTGCTCAGGTCCCACCGTTCCGGGCACGGCACGCGCTGCCATCAAGCCTCTCCGTGCGCTCACGTTGCACCTCTGGAATGGTTTTGCTCTCCAGGGCAAACACTTTCTCCTAAATGGGGACAAAGACCTAATTTTTGGATGCTTGGATAGGTCTGGAAGCATCTGACTCCTCTTCTGTCAGTCTACCTCTTGCCTCACCGGGGCTGGAAGATCCTTGCGTGGGGTTTCTCAGCCTGTGTGCAGAAAAATAGGAGCAAACCAGCAGGAACATCATCTCACAACTTTATAGCTGTGTTTTCTGTACCTTTGGGGTTGTGTTTTCTTTCCTACCTTTCCTACCCTCTTGTTGCATCCCGGTTTCCGAAGGGAGAAGCTGACTGTCTCTTGCAAGCGACTTGAAAACAAGGAATGAAGGAAAACCAAAGGGATTGCTTGAGCTGTTTGGAACCTTTTCCATCCCTTCCCCTCGAAGGGCTCATTCCTAACCCCTCGTTTCCAAAGTCTCCCAGGCTTTTTGGCACCTGCTTGCTCCGCAGAGCAGCGGAAGGGCGGCGTGCTTCAAATCCGGGCTGAAAAACCGGTGGGATGACAGAGAAACGGGTCACGGGGAGAAGGCGGCGAGGCTGGAATAGGTTTGGGTGGGGAGAAGCAGTGACTAAGGTGCTGAAGCAGCTGAACGGAGGAGATAAGGGTGGAAGGGATTTGTGGTTTTATTTTATTTCATAAAAATGACAATTCTTACAATGCTACTAGGAACATTCTGGGAGATCGTTCTTGCAACGACACCTTATTTTTGGTGCAAAATAGGCGATTGCGAGAGAGGGGAGCGAAGTCTCGAGCTGCCTATTTGCAGAACCACGTCTTTCGGGTTTGGTGGGGCTTTTTCGTTCTTGTTTGGGAGATTTCAGTCGGTACTTCAGAAAAGCCAAGGCCTGGCTTTGAATAGAAAAGGCTTCTCGATGCTATTGGGTGCTTCTTCCCTCGATGTGGACTCCTTTTCCGGCCTTAATTCAGCAGCAGCTACGTCAAGTTCCATCTTCCGCCCGGCCAGCGCATCGAACGCGCCCTTTTGCTCGGCTTGACGAGCGTTCAGAGGACCACGCTCCTTGCAGCCCTCTGGCTTGGAGCGGAGCTTGCAAAGCTGAGCTGGAGGAGTGACGAAACCCCAGAAAATCCGGCCTCGCCACCCGCCAGGTCGCCACCGTGCGAGCGAGAGGCACGGCTGGGGAGGTTGTCTACGCTGACCCGGCTGTCGGTCCTGGGACACGCCGAAGGGAGCTGCGTTCTCTGCCTCAGCCCGGCAGCAAGTGCATCACGGGGTGGGTGTGGGGGGGTGGTCCTTGCGTGGAGGGGCTGAGCTCTGACGGCTAAACCTCGGAAGCTCACGAGGCAGGACTCGGCCACCGCACCGAGGGCATTTTCGGGGTTGGTTCGTAAAACCCACCTGAAGGGGCCGTTCGTGTCGTGGCGCGATGGAAGAAAAGAAATTCCCCCCCACGTCCAGCCAGCAAAGGCTCCAAACCTGCCCAAATTCAGCTGCTCTTACGAGACCCGGGATGCTGAAGGGCAGCTGGTGTCTTTAGATGGCTGGATCCACGTCCTGATGCTCCTGGTCCGTCTTTCCTGCACTTTTAGCGGTGTTTCACATCCCTGTCTT